AGCATTCAAAAAGGCGATCCCCTACAGGTAAGAGGAGAGGTCAGATTTCACATCTGCCCATTGAATTTTAAATAACTTGAGCGAGAAAACCTAGAAAGCTTGCCGTTCCCGTTCTCATTTCCTTTGAGAATGCTCAGAAAACTTATATTTCTGGTCAAAATTTCAAAAAAAAGATCGACCTATAAGATTGTCTTTTAGATTGAGTTGAAAACATTTCACCATATATCGCAAGTTAATTTGTGAAAATCAACACTAACAAAGCAAATTTTTATTCTGGAAACAGCTACCGTAGCTCGCTAATTTCTAATTCTTACTAGGGAAAGCAGTGAAGCGACACCGTAAACCCCCTGCGTCGCATATGCGAAGGATGCTTTAACGCATACATCAGTGGTTGGCGCCCGTACAATTTCTTTCATCAAGCAGACGCAATTAATGAAATCGATGTTATGTTTTTATTAAAATATTTATATTTATTGAATTTGTGCGCGAGTTACAGAAACATGAAAACTGTGGTGCACTACGCCATATTTCCCTGCGAACCGCGGGCTTGTTCCTCCCGTACTACGGTTAATAGTCCACTGAATAAAATCTAAAAAAAGCATATAAGAATGTGTACAATAAAGACTTAAGAGCATACGAGGCATTTTTCTTTAAGCTAAAGAACTTTGTTTAAAAATGAAGTCGGGAATTTTACACTAATGACGAATGTGCATGTGAGTTATACGGCCACAAGGACATAGTATAGATGATGAATCGTAACGACCAGCCGGCTAATTAACTAAAATATGCTAATTCAAGTTTAATTATTAAAAAAAAAACATATGGTTATAACTACGAACTTGCTGAGTGTCATTAAAAACGGGAGAGCGCCTTTAGAGCGCGCGACACTAGAGCGCCGACGTTAGAGCACACGACACGAGGGCGCTACGAAAGTAGCGCGCTTGACACTAGAGCGCACGACACAAGAGTACGCGACCAGTTGAGCGCGCGACACGAGAGCGCACGACCAATTGAGCGCGCTACACGAGAGCGCACGACCAGTTGAGCGCGCGACACGACAGCGCACCCCATTTGAGCGAACACCGCAAAATGTGTGATGTACCCGCGGTTCCACAGACAGAACAAAATTGTGCGACTCATCGGATTGAAGCCTTGGTGATCTTTGACTGATCAAATATGCCTTGAAAAAAAAAATCAAATAAAAAAAACGGGTATGACTTTTTTTAACTGATTGTTTACTGACATCTGAGAGAAAAGGGGACAGGGGAGTGGGCTGCAGGGGCATATAGGTACCGGGAAAGTTTGCAGTTGAGTGGAGCAGCGAGTCTACGATTTCTTCACAGTGCTGCGGTGCGCCTCTCGGATATACTATAAATAGCTCACTTTTTGCTATATTTTGTCTATTCTTGACAGGCATTTGGGCTCCTATATTTTTGGTGGCTATTTCAGCGTCCCTCGCATAAGTTTAATTGGTATTCTGACGTCCTTGTCCGTGATGAAGAAAGCTCACCTCTAAAAAGGTATCAGCAGAAAACTCATCGAAGGAAAGCTCAGCGCAATTTTATCGAATGTAGATCTTTCCAGTCTTTTGACAGATTCAGGAAAACCTCCCCTCCAAATCTGTGATATACAAAATAAAAGAAACTAATGAAGGTAGGTCAGCTGCAATGTTTTTCCTGCAAACATGCACGCAACAATTTTTTTTTAGCTTTTTGTCGCACATTTTGGTTTGCCACACGCAAAAGATTTCGTCGACTCATTTCGCATTGTCATTGCGGAATTCCGCGGCAAAAATTCCTGCCAATATTACATAAAACACGCTATGCCCGAAAAATTGGTCGGTCCGGTCGGGCCACTCGCGCTGGTTGTGCGCTCTCGTGACGGGCGCTCGAGGGACCGCCCTCTGGTCGCGCGCGCTAACGTCGCAGCGCTCTCGAGACGCGCGCTCTAACATCGCGGCGCTCTAGTGTCGCGCGCTCTAACGTCGCGGCGCTCTAGTGTCGCGCGCGCTATCGTCGTGGCGCTCTAATGTCGGCGCACTAATGTCGGCGCTCTTGTGTCGTGCGCTCTAGTGTTGTACAGCCATAAAAAACGACTGACACAATCGTTTACAGTCATACTTTGGTAACGTGGTATGCATGGTGGAGAGTTATGGTTAGCAATCGTGCAGCAAGCGCAAGACTACCGTTGCGATAAAGCACCCATGATGCTTTTTCGTAACCTTTCATGCGCTCTTTATTACCCCAACCTTGTGCCTGTTCTACTGGAGGAAATATTAAAATTTGGTTCTTTCAATGAAACTCAGCGATTTCTAATTGGAACCATATGCGTACTTTGACTAATCAAGGAGTTATTTACCTAATTTTATTTAAATATTTGAATTTGAAAGCTTATCCGCCTATAATTTGTCTGCTGACGCTCTAACCCACCTGCACAAAGCGCATTATTGTAGCTTCCATTGCTTTAAAAAATTGCTTACTTATAAAAATACCCTGTTTAAGACGGTGCAATAAGTTGTATTCCCTTAGTTGCTATGTATATAATAGTTTTATAAACCTTGCATATGTATCGAACAATTCATATCAGTAAATACACCCTCTTCAATAGGAAATAAACATCTTATTGTAACCAAGGTTCTTTCAAAAAGTGTACTGGTGGAGGTACTTCAGGCAGTCCCGAAGCTTGAAACTGTTTCAGGAACAAGAACTGCAGAAAACCCATGTCACATTTGCTTCCAACGTGTTTTTTTGTTTTTTTTTTATGAATACATCTCCACTCAATGACACTGAGTCTCCAAGAACAGTAGACCTCGTCTCCTGCAGCCACTCACGCATCGATCTATGTGTTGAATTCCCCGACCGTTGAGGCTGCGTTGACACTGTTGTGTAACAATATTTGGTATAGTAGATATGTTCAAATAAATTATTAAAAAACAGAACCTAGCACAATAACATCCTCTTTATTCAAAACATGATTTAAATGCATCGTCCTCGATAACATTCGGACCTCTGTTCGACCTGCAAATACAGACATTTTGACTCCACTGACGGTGACATAAATCCCTGAAGAAGCGTCATCACTGATTCTTAAGATATGGTAGCGTTTGTGTTCAAATTTACATAATACAAAGAGGTGCGAACATTCAGTAACAAAAGATAAGTAGGATTCAATCAGCTGTTTCTTGTGAGACATGTCTCTATACACAATGTTAAAAGGTTAGCATGGCGTCCGAGGAGGATTATATCATGTGAGATATAGTCACAGCAGCGTTGTTTTAAACAGTTCAATGCTACATCAAAACTTGAGGTGTTATGCCAGGTCTATTTTGTCATCTCAGGTAATAGACACCGTATCAATAAGACGCTTCGTTAACAAATAGTGCCAAAATTATAGGTGAGTGACAACTGTACCGATAAGTAGGTCTATATGATGTCAAAACGAACATTTAACCTTGCATGTTTCCTTTTATCATAACACTGAAATTATGCTGATGGAGGTCTATCTTAATACACTGAAAGTCCAATAATTAATATTAGTAAAACGTCTTCATGTCCTTCCATGAACCAAGGCTCGCTTACAAGGAAGCCGACATTGCTCACACATTTCAAGCAAGGCTGTCTGCAATTTCCCAGTATTGCGTGCGTGTGACGTGTGTGAACATATATTTTTAATAATTGCAATTAACTATCTTGAACACACATTCTATTTTATAGTAGCGGTGACCAGCAGGCTATAAATACCAACACTTGCTTAAATTTAACCATGGACTCATCAAATTTTGAGAGTTAAATAGTGTTCATTTTAAACCCTCAGTACTTTCAAAACAATCGATTCTTGTTTGAAAAAAATTGACAACTCTCGTGACTGAAGAAAACACAATCGGGAAATATATTATTCTCTCACACATAGAATATTTTGACAAGTTTTGTTCCACATAGTTGAACATATATAACTCCCTATATAGTGCTAATAATCTGCGCTACGTGTGCATGTAAGGTGTCACTCATACAAAAACATCGATCACATTTAATTAAACTTTACGGCTGATACAGCGCATAACCAGATGAAGTTTCTAACAAAAGCTATGTATTCGAAAAATAGGGGAGTGTGTAGGACAGTTGCTTAGCTCAGATTCTACTGCCATATAGAGCAATACCAAAATATTTAGGTGGGCCAGTTGGATAAACATATCACCAATATGTAGTGCAAAGGTCAGTACACTTTAACGGAATAAGCTTTTTTCCCCTCAGTTTGTACGTGACATTTGCTCTATTTAAGGGGGGACACTACCCAGAAAAAACAATTTCTGCAAAAAAAAGTTGATTTTGAAAAATGTCATATTTACATCCACCAACATCTAAAAAGTGTTCCCAGAAAGTTTCATTAGTTTACACTGCATAGTTAATTTTTTATAAATTATTTTCGGTCCTCCGATGCTAAAGAAAAGGCAGGGGTTGGAGCACTTTGAATGCAATTTTCTCCATTCCACTTTTTGGCATAAATTTCACTTTAGGAAAACTATCGTTTTGTTATTATGCAACTTGGATTCATTTTTATGAGTTTTTCTGGGGTGAAATTATAAGGGGAACATAACTATGAGCTTGTATTTTTTATTTTTGTCATTTTTCATGCTCAAGAACTAAAATTTTGGACAAAGGATGGAAATCTAAAAAACTGTATTTGTGTTTATGTGGCTTTTTTGTCATGAAAGATGGTATAACATAGAAATATAGCTCCATAGTTATCTGCTCTGAACTGTCCTAATGCAATGTAACACATGAAAACGATAAATTTATAAGTAATTTCAAAACGATAGTTTTCCTACGCAGACACGCCCACTTTCGTCTTTGAACGTTTGCAATTTTTTTTGTACTTCACCCAGGTTAACAAAAATTGGCAGAAATGTTCTCAACATCAACAGAAACAAGCCCTGTAAATATAATTTAAATCAGACAAGGGGTGCAAAAATTTCCTTTTTTGGGTAGTGTCCCCCCTTAATAGTAGCTTTCAGCGGCAGCCATTTGGAATAATCCTTAATATCGGTATGTTTGTACATCGCCTTTGTCTTGTAAACTGCATTGAATCGCTCAAACCTTCAGTATTTGTTTTTTCCGAATAAGAAACAAGCAAAACAAGACTAGTTCATTTCAAAGATCTGCCGGGGGTAATCGCACAACAGAAGTCTTGATTTCAGTGTGGTGCGCTCGAAGAATGAACGACACAATTCTTTTGTAACAAGGAATTCAAGAACGTAGGCGAATACGTTTTCTCAGTCGCCATCAATTAAAGTTATGCATTGGCGCTGGTCGTGTGCCATTTATAGCACACTTTTATTTGTATACCATGAGCAGAAGCCATATGAGCGATAACTAGAAAGTACCTAAGCGATCACGCTAGCATGTTGATATTAAAAACATGCATGAAGATGTAGTAAATAACACGTGATACACATGGTGACACTGGTTGACACCAAACGCACCGACCAATACCCATCCTCACAAGCACACTCATAAAGGTATGTCAACTCTTCGTCGATGACTGCGGAGTGGACCGCAGTGCTGCATCTCCATCCAAAGAGGCCTCGAGAGACGGAGAAATGGGGCTGAATTTTCGGCCGCGGCATGTGACCACCAGCTTGCAGGCATGAAACATCTCCGCGATGATGGACTCCTATAGAACAATAAAAAGAACAGAGCATAACAAATTGACCAATAATTGTGTCGTATTTGACAAATTGATCGTACGTAGAATATGTTTTTCGGGCAGCACATCTCGGTGTGATTGTTTAAGTTCCGAGCCTCATGTCGCAAATTCTGACGAGAACTCCGTTTGCAATTGCAATGATCTTTCTTTTTCCATCTATGTTGTGTGGCTTATGTTGTCATTGAGTTACTCCCGTTAAAAACGAATTCGAAGTAAGAAACGATTCAAGGAGGCAACAATCGCGTCACAGAGGAAAGAGCTATTCGTGGCAGGCCACCAATGTTCTGCTTTGACAGCCGCTCACACTTCGAGTAAACTGAGACTTCAGAGCTTGACATGAAGGGCATAGTCTAAATTTGGCATATAATACACAGCGTTAAATTGACCATCCTAGGGTAAATGCCTGTCAACACGTCTCGACATCTCACCAAATACCACAACCATAGATTCTCATCACCAGTGACTCTTCTTTAATTAAGTTTGTCATTAATTTCGCCACATAAACAGTCGACAAGAAGCATTTTCGCTGCTGCTTTCGTTTTAGGATTAGTTAACTTCCGCATGACATACTTTTTCCCAAAACGTTTAATTTCCATTGAACTGGTCGCCACAAAACTGCTGTACAACCCTCACGGCAGTTCATTGAATCACGAATTTTCGCTAAACAAGCTACTGGGCGACAAGAAACAAAATTACCAAAGAACTAGAGACAACCTTTCCATTTTTGGGTTGTTATTTCCACAATAATATATATATATATTTTTTTTTGCGTTCGAGTATAAACATAATATTAATGAACAAGATGTGAAACAGGAAGTATTATGGAGTTTCATCTGAAATATAGTGGTTTGTGGGAAAGAGAAAATGTCCTGATTCAGGAATGCTACATCCCAGGCAGCACACAGTATGGCGCCAATATTGGCGTCGGAGCAGAGAAACCGGGCCAATATCATTTTAATGCAGCCGATATTGGCGCTGGGTCGTAAACATCGCGCCAGTATTAACGTGATGTGCCCGATGTCGGCTGAACATCATTTGGATCGACCAACGCCACGCCGATGTACAGTATCCAGCGCCGTTTTCCGGTAATTTGTCGGGTCTGAACCGGCTATATCGGCCGGTATTAGGAATTCTCGACCGTTTCTAAAACTGTACTAAAGAGACCATGAAATGACCTTTTTTACTTTTTCCAGATAACTTTTACATTAAACCGTCAATGTTCACTGAATGCCGAACAGGCATCCGTTTTCGTCTCGGTTTATTAACTTCTACACAAAAAATTAATAAAAGATCGACTTTTTCTTTCTCTCCAACTGACCGCAAAACAAGCCGTGACGTAGGCTGTTTCCGGAACCGGAAGTTTCCTCGGCAGCACGAGAATGGGAAGGTTAGCGGCGACGAGTTGGGGTGCGCCGGTAGGTTTTACTGCGGTGATGTCACCGACGTATTTTCTGAATCGGCGCCCCTCATCGCCACATCGCAGCTGAGCGAAATTCAATGAGATATGTTGCGCTACAGCGACAGCATGGGACTAGTCCCATACGCCGGTATGCCTGTTGGGAAGTGCAGCGAGTCTTGCGGTGAAGACTCCAGAAGTCAACCCAACTGTCATTGTTGGTAAAAGGCGGCCCGTGTAAGTCGTTTGCAAAGCGACATTGATGGAAACAAATTGCCGCGGCGTTTTTCTCGGCCTCGGAGATGCACGAGCGAGCCGACTTTAAAAAAGGTACGTTTGAACTAGGAGTGTCAGCAAGAGCCAAGTAAATACCTGTTCACACTCGGAGCGGACGCGCGCGTTTGATGGAAGTGCTGTATTCGCGCTGTTGGTAAGCGCTTCTGGACCGATCTTTTACGACTGCAACTCGATACTGACGCGACACTGGGCACAGAAAGGTTGGACCGGCATTGCACGTATACCTCCCACGAACTGTTATAGCTCGACAGTGACGTGCAGTCTGTCAGAATAAAAATGGCATACCAATAACAAAGTGTACATACCGTGTTACGGAGGTAATCCATACGGCGTTTATTTCAGCTCTATATCACACAAAACAAGAAGATAGAATCGACGAGAGTCCCTTTTCGACGAGTGTTCGTCAACACCGCCTCGGAAAACAGGGGAAAGAGATTGACCTCACCTCTTAATCTAAAATGGAGGTCAGCGATCAAACTATAATACGGGAAGGGTCCACAAGGGTAGCGCGGGCATATTACATTCAGCACGCCAGTTGGTCGTAGGCAGACGGTCTTGCGACGAAGCAACGCTGCGCCGAGTCGGAGTGCCTGCTAGGCCTATATTCTGAGCAGCTCGCTTCGTCGGATTCGGTGGATTCGTCGCCGTTGTCGCTTTTTTCGGGTGTTTGTGGATCCAGCGTTCTTGTTCGTCGTGGTCTGTTTTAAGTACTTTTTTTCTTGCTGCTTGAAGTCGGCACGCGCGAGAAGAATACGTAGAAAAATAAACGTTCAGTCAGTCAGAGTTTCGAGAGGAAGGAAATCAAAGGAAATAACCGTTCGTCGGTCGTCGTGACCCAAGCGACCCAAGTAACTGAAGTCGACCCTGCCCTACTGCGCACGCGCAGTAGTTGCATCGTTTACCAGACGATAGATGGCGCATAACTCTCAGCATTATCAAATTTGGCAATTTTCGCCACACATCTCTAATTATGCTACAAAATGTGGATCTGAATATTATTTAACAAAACTTTTAGGAAACATTCGCCGGCTATTCATTGTTTACGATCGCGGTGCTGGTGAGGTAGGCTCTTACCCAATAGGCGACGTGGATTCGGCTGACGTGCTCCGTTTCCGCGGATGCATCGTAGTGAAAAGGCAGCGAGCTTTCGAAGGAAAGAAGGCGCGAAAGAGTCCAGTTTTCTTTTAAAAGTTGTATAGCAAATAATTTTTTTTGGCTCCCTATTTTTGTGTTTTTGTGTTTCTTTTCACACCTCTTACGACGTGCGGTGGATGAAATTCGATTTTAAAATCATTTCATGGTTCCCTTTAATCGCGGTCCACTGCGCCGGCCAATCGCGGCGGTTGCCGCTGTTGCCAGGGCCGCGCCGAAGGCGGGCCAGGCAATCTGTGGCTAGAACTGGGTTTTTCCGTTCAAACAAATGGAAAAAAAAACTCTTTTTGTGGTAACTTTTAATTGAGATTAGTAGAAAAAGGGGGGCGCATAATATTTTCTAAAATCTTTAGTTTGCAAGGTTTGCGGCACAATGAATATTGTGTTTATGCAACCATGCCTCAGCGGTGATTTCAGGTAGCGTGTCCGGACCTAGGCGCATCCTAACTTCGGCAGTAATTCGCGGTGCGTCCGCTTGGGAGTCGGGGGCGGCACCCTTGAAGGCCCTTCCACCGTATCTGTTTCGGAGCCAACCTGGCCGATTAAAGACAATATAGAAGTCACGTTCAGTTCCTCGAGTGATTGGTGCGCGAGAAATGACGGCCTTGCGATCGCTATTAGCTCGGTTCTCGAGTACGGATCGGTGCAACATCTTCAGAGCAGGCACTGTGGGAGTTTCCCAACTGATGGTTTAATTCTATAGTACCGTTGGCTTGGAGGAAGTCCGGTGACACCCCAGCGGCCGCGGCCATGTTAACCGATATTCGCCCATCTCTGTCCAGAACTCGAAAAATATCGCCGATTCCGGCCCATTTTTAGAACGATCGGTAACCGATATTTGCCCAGTACTGGGCCCCGGTGCAAAACGTTAAACTGGGCCAATATTGTGAGCAATATTTCCCCGACGCTGGCCCAATGTCGGTCGTGCTGCCTGGGATATGCAAATCGAATTTCCGCAAAGTGTTCTTAATCTTGTTATTTGCTACGTCGCTCTATTTAGATCGCGACGATTGACTGTTATATTGTGCTGTGGGAAAATAGGCCAGCGTACATGTTTTAGAACAGTACGTATGTTAACGAAAGCACAGAGTGTTCTAACTTGTGTCAATTTCTGGGCTACAAAGCCCGGGTTCTTTCATATCGACGTCAGGTTGACTCAATTTATTCTAATCTTTCTAATGATTCCGACAAAGTTTATCATTATTTGGTGATACGAAAATTGCAACAATGTGGTATCACCCCTCAGCTTTGTGGATGGGATCGAGAAAAACAAAAATATGTTTGAGTTGAAAATGGCTTTTTCAAGTGCGTTTTTTTTCGACTGCAGGAGTTCATCAGGGCTCAGTAGTGGGTCTGTTTCTGCTCGTAGAATTTATAAACAATGATTTAGATTGTATAAAAGTTTGCTGATGTGCTCCAATTTGCGATGATATAAAGTTATTCTAACATGTTTGTTCCGGGACAGACTGCGAAGTGCTCCAGTCTGCCGTTTCGGGATATCAAAATTGTGCTCGTTGAAACGACTGCCTCTGAACGCGAACAAAACTAATGTAACCTTGCTTTCGTGGCGTATATATCCCTTACATTTTTAGTACAGGTTGGAAAACAGTACTATTACTCGACCATATATGATCAGGGACATTGATATGTTAGTCGATGGCCAACTCACATTTGCCATCGACTAACATGTCGCTAATAATTGTTGGGACATGCCAATAATATCGGCGCTAATATTTGTTGTACCTTTTTTAATTTGCTTGGCATGTGATTTCACGTATTACTCTGTAACTTCGAGCATCCGCTGCCATGTTACATTTATTTTGGGTATTGGTTTGGGCCCAACTTGAATTTGCTTTTGTCGTGTGGAACAATTTATCGGAAAGTGAATTTTAGGGAGTTGAAGCTGTACAAAGGCATCTGGTTCGCATAGTATATGATAGGCATTTTTGGAATCACCATTATATCGAATTCAAATTTTTTTCACTAGCCATTTTCATCATAATTTATATTTCATGCCTTATTTTACTTTTTGAATACCGGAACGTACCTGTAGTATAACATATTGTAGCTTAGGATCTCTGATTGGCTATCTATTTGTTTCTGTCATCATTTTGAGCCCCCAAGAAGAGGAGGGCAGACAATTGAACACGAAGGGCGACGTTACGGGTGCGCTCTGGGGATATTCGAAGCCTAGCAGCGAGCCGCGACGGTCGGCCACTCGACGTATCTTGGTTCGGCTTTGTCCCGGCCCCGAGGTGCCGGCGCCTACAAGACCCACACTGTCATGCTTGCCTGGGAATGCTTTGTCTGCACCCTAGGTCCAACTGCTTCGACGCTTCGACGCTAAGACCCGATCTAGGACAGCATCCTGGCACACGCTGCGCGCCAGGCCACACCGATGACTGTGCATCTTACAACATATTAAATTGACTAATCGAAGGTAAACAGTACATGTATGTCTTCGGTTGTCTTTTTTATTACTTGCTTATTTGTGTCCAAAATATACTGTTGCTTTAATCTCAGTCACCAATTCTCCTTCCTCGCCCTCCCGAAAGGAAGAACCCGGCAGTTCCATGTCTTTGCACATTTTATTTTAATCTTATATCAAAGTGCCTCTGCTGTCCACCAATGTCAAAACCCTCAGGGCGGTTTGGGGCACAAAATAAACATAAATATCAGAGCCTGTGAATAACCTCCATCGCTTCTATGCAACATCAATAATTACAGTCGGACGACTCCAACTGAGTATTCAGGCCAAATCCTAAGATCGAGCGTCGTTCGCCGCACTGGTCGAACACGTGATTCGGCCAAACGCTGACACGCCTCTCGTGTCCAATTTGTATATGCACTCAATCTCATTGTGATGGCGTGAATGTTCTAGTGCAGGCACTTGGATTATTCTAGGTGGTGCTGGTATTAAGGCTAGCCCACATGGCGCGTTTTGCCGGGTGTCCAGACGCGCGTCTCGGCTTGGCGCGCGTGCTAAGCCAGGCGCGTGCGCCCAGTCAAACCACACGCAGCGCTACCGGGCAGCGCTTCGCGTCTGCGTTTTCGAAGCGTCTGCCCAACGTAGCCAGACGCATTAAAAAACAAATGCAAATTTTAAAAAGAAATCGCGCGTTAAATGGTGGCTACATGCTGTAATATTTATTTTATTAATAGTATGCCCGCATTTTTATTACAGCAATTTCAATGAAGCTCAATTTTACTCATTTTCACCCTTTTTAGTGCGTACGCCTCATCCAGCTTTCGGTATGCCATCGGCATCACCATCTCCTGCGCCAAAACATTTACAGCTGGTCGCTACAGAGGTTGCATTGTTGCGATTGTTGCCGATAGTATTAACTCTGTACTTTTGTCTCTCGGTGTCATTGGAATATTTACATTTCGCCTGCCAGAGTGCACGACGCTTTTGTACATCGCTAACCCCTCTCGGTTCCGCTGAAGGAGCGTCAGCCTCTCCCGCGGAGCAGGGAGGAGCCCCTGGACTTGTGCAAAAGGTATGGTAAGCTGATGTCTACAGGGAGAAGGACGTAACTACCCATGTTCGCCCTGCTGCAAGCATTGGCGGAACGTTTTGATTGAAGGCCGCGGGCGTGCAGATTTTGTAAACTCCGCACGCGCGGGTGTTCGTGAATGTGCGTGCGTGCGTGCGTGCGTGCGTGCGTGCGCGCGCGCGCTCTCTATTGGAATGGCACAGGTTTGTTATCCGTTTTTGTGTGTTTATCCTTCTGTTTTGAGTGTTTGCATTTATTTTCCTTTCCCGTATCCCTTTCCCCACTTGGCGGCGGGCTACCAGGCGCACCTGTGTAAGGGTCTCAACATTTTCGCCTAGCCTTGCACGCTGCCGAGTGGGTATCGCAATCTCTGCAAATAAAAATTATGATTATTACTATCGCTATTGTCGCAAGGCCCATTGCAAAAACTACAGTCCTACAGTGGCGAAAACAGTAGAGAAAATTCAAACGCCCCCTGCAACTAGTGAACGCGGCCGTTCATTGGTTGTTGCCTACTGGGCGCAGCGGGAGACGCAACGCCTGGACGCAAAATATCTGGCGCCTCCAGATACGTCGGAGTGCGCCAAAAAACGCTGCGTTTCGTCCCGTCGCCGGAAGTGACGTCAAAGCGCAGGCGCAGACGCGACGCAGACGCGGAGAAAAGCGCTCTATGTGGGCTAGGCTTTACTCGTGAGAATAGGGTATATAGCAGGTATTTATTTCTTCAGAAAATTTAGAAAGTGTTATAGTTGCGTGTAGGAGCAAACGCAATCACTATGCGATTTCGTCAACATTGCGTGGTTCACGCTGCACAGGCGTGTCATCGCTATGCGCTAATCTAAGGCCAGAGTTTTGACTCCGCACATGTTCACTGCGGAACACGCAACGCTAAAGCCAACACAGAGTGCTTGCGTTCACTCGTATACGCGAAACTAAAACTCACTTCTATTTTAGCGGATTAGTGTGCTCAGTGTCCACGTTTATTTTAATTTTGGTACGCATTTTTACAGTTTCGTACAGTTCAAAGTTAATAAGAGAAAATCAGAAGAAGTTTTGCTTTTTCTAGACGATGGATAAATTATCTGTCAGATATTCCGCGGCGTTAGGGCTTTCTAGAAAAAGCAGGTTAATATTCTACTTTTGTTTGTTTAGTTTTTCTACCGGTACTACGCAGTTCATCAGAGAGCACGCCCTGAATGTAAATTTAGAATTTTAAGCTGTTTGAAAATGATCCGGGGGAATGGTGCTAATGCATCTTGTAGGATGTTTAATCAGGGTAATACAGGTACCTCAAAGCAGTCCGTATAATCCAATTAGCCTAACACCACCGACTGCTACCCAAATACAACGAGGGCGTGAGCCGCGCTGCCTATATTTGGTAACTGGTACTGCACGCAGATTGTGTTCGAAGCCAGGTGGTTATTGAGCTGTGCACTTCGCGAGTGCTTTAAAGAACAGAAGGTAAAAGAAGTGCATACCAAACCAAGTTTCCTTGTCTATTTAAGGAATTAGAAAAAAATCATGAACAAGATGGAAAGTTTTGAATGAAAACTAATTATTAAATATTTTTGCAAAATAAATAGCTCTAAAGCATTAACAATCCTAAAATGTGTAGATTGGAATAATCATTTCTTAGTTAAGTTCTGAATTATTAGAAACTAATGAAAATAACCCGTGGAGAAGGGGAACGAGGGGGACAAAGGCCAAACAAAAATCTCTGAACACCGCTTGATGACTAGTACGCACGGCGAAATCCGCCTGGTCCTGATACCGAACCAGGACACGGCGGTTCGTTTATTCTGTCCAGCTCACCTTACTCTTTGCATTAATTATTGCATTATCGACACATTAGAACTGAACAAATAATATTGCTGCGCTTTAATGTCACAATTTAAAATAAAATAAATCATGTGTTCCTCGCACTATTGGAGTGAGAGTGCGAAATTCTTGGCCAACAGGTGTTTCTTTTTCCGCAGCAGTGGCGCGCACTTCTTACGACACCACACACTCATAAGACTGCGTGTTTGTTTATCATTTCAATAACGGATGTTCCTGGTGCCTTGCGAAATCCGCAAATTGCCCCGTCCCCCCCCCCCCCCCCCCCCAAAAAAAAAAAAAGAAATATATATATATTTCTGATATATGTATTACAAGGACTTCATTTTACTGAATATAAAACGAACAAAAAATGAGGAACACAGATTGTGTTCACCGGTAATGGTAGGATTTGGAGGATGCCTCGGTGGCTTGCGTGGCTGCAATGGAAGTGGCATCGCCATCTCCCTGCGATTGCCTCTGCTGCTTCTTTCGTTGGCGGCTTTCATACGCTTGGTGGTAGTCTGTCTCGGAGGGACGGCGATGCAGTGAATCAGACCGAACGGGCTGTCAGCTCGGTAGCCAGGCGCTCACATCGCCTTGTGTGGCTGTGATGTGATGCGTTACAGAAATTGACGTGAAATGATGCGATCTATGAAATATGACGTATATGTGTGTTATAAAAATCAACTGTTACCTCGCTCACGCAAATGCTCTGCTCAGTCAGGATATATGGTACCTGGTAGGGAGCGACTTAGTGCCAGGTTCAATTCGCTTCAGCAGTATATTCGTACTCGTGTTTTAAAATCACCCCCATGGCCCTATACCTTTTATATAACTTTAGCCTATGTACTACGGTCGACCATAACGGTCACGCGAGTAACGATCAAGGATGACGGTCGCGCCTGGCGATTTTTTATCGCAGAAACTGACAGAGATAGCGCGTTCTCTGCTAAAACGTACGAGTTCGAGTTACCTGGTGGTTTTTGATTTCTGGGAATGCACTATAGTCTTCTGACAAGTTAAAAAGGCAGGACGTTAATTGTTATCGTCCTCATGCTCCTTGCATCAAGATTTCTCCTTTGGCGTTCTTAAGGACTATGGTCGTAGCCTCTGCAAAACGATAGTTAGACGCTGGGGGCGCGGGGGGGGGGGGGGGGACCTTGCCACGTTCAGCATTTTTTAAGCTGTCAAAACAAGTGTGGTGAAAGACAAGAGGTTTTTGCACGCGTAAATAAGGGAACTGACAGCACCGGGATCGGCCGTTCTCTTACCCTCTCTCCGTAGGGGATCTTCTGCAGCTCCCAGACGAACTCTCCGATGCCTATGACTGCGCCCGCGAGGCAGCCCACGAAGAGGACGATGAACACCCCGCCCACGGAGGACAGGCTCATTTCGCTGTTGCTCGCCGATGAGGAGGCGTTCGCGTAGAGCTGGCACTTGCCCAGGGAAGCCGGATCCGGCGGATTGCGCGTCTTCCACCACTTCTCCTTCAGCTTGAAAAGCAGGTCACCCTCGTGAAATTCCACAATGGCGGCGGACAGCACGTTTCGGATCTTTGCATCTGTAGGGGAGGGTTGTATTTGAATGCGCGTTGTTGAACATCCCCGTGTGAAGGTAAGAATTGGAATGTAAATGGAATATACTTTTATAAAGAGTATTATCAATATTCAGGACGAGCACTGCCTATCTATCATTACGATATACAAATTAGCGCAATGACCGTGTTCTTCTCTTTTTTTTTTTGCTTTTAGAATATACAACGACTACACTCACTGACAGCTTAAGACACGCCGGGTGTGGAGTTTGTGTTGACACTTCTTGCTTTTTAATTAGCTCTCCAGGCGTTACTGTCGAAACTTGCCGCAATTTCCAATGTCCGCTATCTTTTCAAAAATGTCTGAAACGAAATTGTTAATATCAAGATTGTAAAATTAAGCCCTAATATACTTTAATCTTTAAATATACTAAACACATTTTTTGCTATTTTTTACACTGGCGTTATTCTTATACTTTTTGACAGCCATGCAAATGCCATAGAAATTAAGATATCACAAGATTCCGCATTGAAGCGGCTGACAGCCATTCGGCCCCATTAAAATCAGTTTCAGTTGCCAAAAACAATGGCGTATTCTGGTTATGCAAATAACCTTCCACCCAGTCTTGGGCGTACTTGCCCTGCACAGGATCCGCCCCAATAAAATGAAGTGGGCACGTTCGGAACTTATAAATGCAGCTTAGTTGGTCTCATGCTCCCTAGGTAAATGAAAGAATGAGTCAGATTCAATTGTGACTTTAGCACGTTTGTTTTGCTCTACGTGTTTTGTGCAACTTTGCTAGAGTCAGCTCGATTATGCGTATTGTACTGCGTGTCACTCCAGCGTATATATAAATTGCCTTTATTTTTTTAATTATATTCACGGGCAGAATTGCGTCGCCCGGCATTAGCCACTGTGACTATGGGTCTATAACATAAAGGCTCAGAACGAAAAAGACGAATGTTGAGAAAGCAGAGACCAGGCCTTGAAGGTCAAATATTGTATTGTAAGAAAAATTATTGCTGAGAATGGGAAATAAACCGGCAACACGAATCTTTAAAAAGAAAGTACAGTCGAGTTTTGTTCAATAAGGCTCAGTCCGACGGTTAAGGCACATGGGTGTCGTCTTCATCTTGGTGACCATGAGGTTGTGACTCGGGCGAAAAGATGATGGTGGGTGGATCATAGTGGATCGATTGCATCGTGGTGGGGCATCAGGATGCGAGCGTTCTTGGGATCGTCTTGGTCATTAACAGAATAGGCGTTCCGTATCAGGACGATGATTTGACTCCAGATTGCAGTCTTCTGGTAACCAAGCAAAGGCGGCGTCCTTCAGGCTTCCGACCTGACAGCTCAGTCCTGGTTTGGTGCGTGTCCAAGTGCCCAGTTATGCTTGCCGGCCGCTGATGTTTTGCACGATCAACCTCCTCTCGTGCGCTCGTTTATGTCCACTTCTCTGTCAGTTCCTCCGCTTATATACGCATCATAGCATCAACGCTACAAAGTTTGCTCGAGTCGTTTTCTCGGGGCGAGGATGCACGCTGTTTTGACTTCGTCACTCAGCTCCTCGCCTCCGATTTCAATTGGAAAAGACAGCTGCAGGTACCTAATCCTTCTGCATGCGCAATCATGAATGGCGAAAAACCAAAAACTCATATCCCAACCATGAGATTAGGCGGTTCAAGTGTCACTAAGCAACCACAAAATGCCCGCGCGATCTACGAGAGCTTCACGCAGTTGTCGAAAGAAGCCTTTAGAGAGAAGCAATGAAAGGATGCTACTATGCATGCTGTCACAACTGACACACGTTCAAATTGAGGAATGTAGTCTTGCTACGCTGTTACCTGAAATCTCATGGGTATTCACTGAAACAGGCGGTGCCAACTAAGTGGTTGCGTCCTCATGCGTTAAAGTTAGCCCGAGAGAGTCGAATGGCAGCGCATCCAGACGTCGATCGATCGTTTCCTGGAGTTGTTCTATTGACCGGGCATACATAATGAATTACGAGGACACGTGAAGTCGAGTGACAGATGCATAATGACGATTCTTAAGGGCAAGGTGGGTAAAGTCCCACTCGGTCGCATGTCATTGATAGACAGTCTGCAAGATGCTCCGTGGTGACCCTCCTCCTCGCGCGCTTGTTCACGTTCACTTCTCTGTCCCTCACCCTCTTTTAATCATAACCACGTCCTCACAGTACCCCATGGCGTCAGCGACAGGACGTTGTGGATTTGTGGATATGACGGAAAACTATGCAGGCGCGGTCGGTGTTATCCGTCTCTTTAACAAGTTCCAAGGACGGTTGTACGGGGAATGTGAACTTTCGATGACTACCATTTTTAGCACCTCGTCTACTTTCTTTTCCCCATTCTTTATTGTAAGCTTGAAGATATAGTGAGGCGTGTTGTTGACCTGAGAGGACTTCTAAAAAAAAGATAAGGTTTTTATATGCTTTAAGCGGACCTCCTATCTAGGCCAGCTGTTCCTCTTTCAGTTCGTAATACACTTTCACAAGCCCAAACCCATAGCTCTCTTCGGATGTGAGGGTTGGCATGTGACCCTTTAACTCTGCTTCTTGAATGACTACAACCGATAAAACCTGAGGAGTAGCTTCTTGGGAACGTTCTTCATATCGCTTCAGCATACTGATGTGGAACAGGTTCCTGGTGTGCCCCAGCTAGCCTAACCAGTAGTCAAACTATTTTTTTTTGCCAGTAATAGGGAAATGTCCCTTCCGATGCATCAGTAGCATGTGGTGACTTGTCGGGATACTGATGAGAGCCCCGATCCCCAACCTTTGGATGACGGCCTAGGCAACACTTGTCATAGTATTCCTTCTGTGTCTTGAGCTTGACCCAGATTTCGATGCGCTTGAATCAAAGTTTGCTCGAGTCGCTCTCTCAGGTCAAGGACGTAGCCTTATATTTCCTTGACTTCATCAATCAGCCCATCTACTGTCCAAAATTCCTTTAGCTCCGTGAGTGGTCCGTAGATGAGCTCACACAGCGGAAATGTGAGACTGGAGTGGGGTACCTTCCCATATGCAAACAAGAGCGGGGTGATGTACCGGTCAAAAGACTGATTGTTCCTGAGTTTTGGTTTAGTTTGCATTATTTTACCGTCCAAACATTGAACTACTCCCTAAGACATCGAATGGTAGGTTATTTTACTCAGATGTTTGACTGCCGACACATCATCAGAATATATTATAAACCCGGAGGTAAAGCAGGAACCTCGATCGTAGAGAACCTCGCGAGAAAACCTAATGCTAAAGAACATGTCAACTAGTCTTTGCGCGACGGTCCCGAAGTCGATCGTTGGCTACGCCAGATATCCGAATAGAGCGTGAAAACGTCGACCGAGGTGAGTATGTATCGGTTACCCTTGGTCGAGGTCGGAGGTAGAAGTCCGACAATGTCTACTGCTACGCACTCAATAGGGCTGTCATTCAAGGGCATGCGACCGACCGGGACTTTACCCCCCTTTTCTTTAGAATGGTAATGATGCATGTGTCACCCGACGTAGCGTGTCTTCGCACTTCATAACGTATGCCTGGGCAATAGAACGCCTCCGGGACACAATCGGTCGACTTCTGTATGCCCCGAATTCCCTGATACCCTATCATCGGACTCGCGTGCGGCAACTTTAACACATTGGGGCGCAATCATTTTCTTGGCCCAGCTTGTTTGAGTTACTTCCCAGGAGATAACTAGTAACAGCTAACAAGTCTCCATTCTCCAATGTGAATGTGTGTAAGGTGTGCCCAGCGAACCTGCATAGTGGCGTTCTTTTCTTGCTTCTTTCTAAAAGCTTCTTTTTTATCTGCTTGAAGCCAAAGTTTATCACGTGGACCATTTGCCGTTACTTAGTCACACTCGATCCGCCTGATATTATGGTTGTGGAGTGAAATTTTGCATTTTCGCCAATCATGATTTCGCACGCAGAAGTAGGTACCTGAAACACTCTTATAGTCGAAATCTGAGCAGGAGAGGAGATGAATGATAAAGTCAAGGCTGGTATGGCTACGCCCTTGGCCTGAAAGATTGAGTTGAAAAAAGTTCGTAGTTTTGATGTTATAATATAGATATCAGAAAAAGAGATGACAGTTAAGAAGTGGACGTGGACGAGCACACAAGGACGAGGGCGAAAAATTAAAAATTCAGTATTTGGGAATGATACAAGGGAACAAAGTTCTAAGAAAGACTTTTGTTGGGCATTATTGTGCACTTTGAACTCAACACTGAAGTAATTAATGGTAACCCCAAGCTTCGAAGGAGTACTGGCGCTTTGAGCCTCAGAGATAATTGTTTGTTTTTGTAGGGCGGATTTATATTATTCACATTTGTACCTAAAAATAAATACAGCTTAAAATAAAGTCGGCAAATGATAATAAAATTCCAGTTCTATTATTTCAGCCCTATATGCGAAAACAAGCGCGAAAGGAAGAACCCTGCTATAATCTGCTGTTTGGAAAAGTGACACTTCGTCGTTTCGCAATGCTTGTTCAATGTCTTTGTTCATTCTAAATAGGTTGCTCGGCTAAGTGCGCTTGTCACTGGTTTTTACTACACTGTAAAAGCTACTTCCACGAGAAAAAAAAACAGTTTCTCAGGTGTTTTTTTTATTGCTGCGAGCCTGTTTTTTTTTTTTTTTTTCGTTTCGTCATTATGTAACAAAGCCGCTTGATCCTCCTCTTATGACCGGTATATTTACGTTTGAAATTATTAAACATCCATGCTGAAGTAATGCAGTAGTTAAGGCTGGCCGATCGATCAAAGGCATTCAGCAAAATACAACTGGTGTGACGTTTTGGGGCACAAACATGTTATGTAATCATGAAAATATAATAAATATGCTTGAAATTGGCCGTTAGCTCTGATAGAGACTTTCAAAATATGCTTACACATTGAGAAGTTGTGAGAAATTTCAACACAATAAAACCAATCCAAACAACCTATTTTATGGACATTCAACTGACTCGCTTACTGTTGAGCCCTACCCCTGCATAACATAGGGCCAACTCGAA